CCAGGTCTATTAGATTCAATGAACCGATTCTAGTTTCATTTGAGTTGTCATTTGTTCCTCTCAATCGAATCATGAATACGCTATGACTGCGTGAAGAATGAGCGTTACATTTTGTTGCAGCGACTGCTCGATTATGAGCTGCGGTTTTTAATGCTTGATTTAGTGTATTAGAACAATCAAGGTCCACTAATTCAAAGAAACATTAGACCATATAAAAAGAATTCAATAGTGTGAATTTGAATATGTAAATTATATATAGTTCAGCAAGTACAGGGCTTTGATATTATTAAAACATATTGCCTGTACACGTGCCAGACATTATATTTTAAACAATATAGAGCTCAGTATTTACTGAATCCTAAATGTATATTTAATAACATACCAGTAGTGGCTTTTGAAATTCTTGTTGTGCCAGTCCGCTCATCATGAATTGTTTTATGTTTAACACCATTGTTACTAGATGGATCAGCAACAAGCAAGTCTCGAATGCTATCATTATATATTTCTATGAATTGTCCTTCTAGTGTAAATTTCCAACATTGAGTCTTTAAATCTTGAATGAGATCATAAATTAAATGGACCGCTCGAGGGATCATCCTTTCGGTTTCAGGGGTTGCATTAGCAGGACCTGTCATGGTATATGTCTTGCCAGCCCCAGTTTGGCCATATGCGAAAATGCACCCGTTATAACCATCTACAACCGATTGAACGATATGTGCAACCTCAGAAAAAATATCTTTCTGTGTTGCTAAAGTATCAAACACTTGGTCAAATTGATATTCTTTAAAAATTTCTTTTTTCTCTCCTAAATAATTTGTTTTTGTTGATATAAGAGAGATTTTTCTATTGAATGGTATTTCTTTTGGAAACTTGAAATTAGCAATATTTTGTGATTCTGACTCTAATAATGGACGAACACGACAGAATACACGTATATTTCCTTTAAGGTCTTGAACATCATTATGAAGTTTTCTACGAAGACGCTCATATTCTTGTAATTTAGAAGTAAACTCCTGAATTTGATTTATATTATTTGTGATTTTTTCGGTTTGTTCGGTAATATTTTCATTTGCCTTCTCCAATTCACATCTATAAGCTTTCATTTCAGATGCTAACTTTGAATTGTTTTTTACCATATCATCACGATTTTGTTGAAGATTCGC